TCCGGGCGCACGTGGCGGCCTCGGGCCCGCCCGGGCTGCGGCCCCCACGCCTCGGCGGCGCACCGCGGGCCAAGTTCAGGGGGCGGGAAGTCCGCCCCGCGCGGGAGACACCCCAACTTTCAGGGACCCGAAAAATCACCCCCGCGGGGGGGGCCTCGAGCAGGAGTGGCTTTTGTCCCTCATCCTTGTTTACTCGGAGAAACTTCAGACCGGACGTGTTTAGTCAGAGCAGAAATCCATCTCAGGGCCAAGCTGATAGCCGAGCAGGCTGCCACCGCCTCTCCCGGGCCTGCTCCCGGTGCTCAGGCTCGGGCGCTTGCCTCCTCCCAGCCAAGTTTTATGTAAAGAGGGCAGTTTTTGAATGGGATGAACTTTGAGGGCGCGGGGGTTTGCCGTTCGGGTTTCCTGTTCCCGGGTGTTTAGGCCTCTGATCGTGAGGGTCTGCGTAAGCCTGAAGCCGTGTGCAGTGCGGATTCTGAGTGGCAGGATGCAATTTTTTTGAGCGTTTGGGCTGGTTGGTTAAAATTTGTTTTTTTCAGATTTAAAGATTGTCTGATTGAGTGGTTAAACTGGCAGTCGTTCTGAGCCGACGGGCAGTTACATGACAAACAGAATGTCTGTTGACCTGTCCGAGATCACACCCGGAGGATCGGCTTTTAAGTTTGTTTTTTTTTTTTTGCTTGGCATAGCCACTTCTAGGAATTGGCTATCGTTGCAGTGTCGTCTCCTTTCACTACTATGTTAAATAACGCATAACTTGGGTTTTCCTTGCTCCCTAAGCACTTTTAAGCTTGTAAACCTCATGATTTTGTGACTAACATCAAACTTATTTTATTTTAGAAAACAACTAAACATGGGCAAAGGAGATCCTAAGAAGCCGAGAGGCAAAATGTCATCGTATGCATTCTTTGTGCAAACTTGCCGGGAGGAGCACAAGAAGAAGCACCCTGACGCTTCCGTCAACTTCTCAGAGTTTTCCAAGAAGTGCTCAGAGAGGTGGAAGGTAAGAGGTTTTAGAGACACAAGGTAATAACCAGTAATTTCCAAATTAGGATGAAATGGTCTAACTAGCTGTTCTCACACTGTGGGGCTATTAAATAGCCAAGGACATTTTTTAATTGTTTTAATGCTTTAGAGTAATTTATTAAGATTTCTATGTCAAGTTTTCAAATAACTTTTTCTAGACCATGTCTGCCAAAGAAAAAGGAAAGTTTGAAGACATGGCAAAGGCTGACAAGGCTCGTTATGAGAGAGAAATGAAAACCTATATCCCTCCTAAAGGGGAAACAAAAAAGAAGTTCAAAGATCCTAACGCACCCAAGAGGCCTCCGTAAGTATCCAAGTTTTATTTCCAGGCATGTTTTATTGTAGACTCGACATAAATTTAGCCAGCCACTTCTGACTTTGTAATCTTTGGCTTCTTTGCTAAGAATGGCTTAGGTGCTATATTTAAGTATCAAAAGTGTAACTTGTGTTGGGTGGGAATAGTCACCAGAGCATTTGAGTTAAGGTGTTTTATTTCCTTTGCACAAACTGTCTTGAGTGATTTTGGCTCTTACATCTTTTTAAATGTATCATAATTTGCAGGCTATTCTGGGCATATATTTGCATGTGCCGTTGCATGGTAGAAATTAGTAGGCACCTATATACAGCAAAACAGAACATATTTGGTAGTTTTTGCTTTTGTGATTTGGTGACTTAAAAATCTAAAATTGAATTTCTCTTTTTAGTTCGGCTTTCTTCTTGTTCTGTTCTGAGTATCGCCCCAAAATCAAAGGAGAGCATCCCGGCTTATCTATTGGTGATGTTGCAAAGAAACTGGGAGAGATGTGGAACAACACTGCTGCAGATGACAAGCAACCTTACGAGAAGAAGGCTGCCAAGCTGAAGGAGAAATACGAAAAGGTAAGGAGTATGTGAGTTTGCTTGGTAGGGGAGTAAAAACGAATTCCAGGCAGTTGGTGGCAGATGATACTTGATACCTCATCTTAATTTCCTATTGCAGATTTTTGGCAACTTGGTGTTAGGTTTTAGTTCAACACCTACGTGGACTTCATATTTTTCATAGAATATGAAAGACAAATGTATTAATATAATCTAACTTGAGCCAAGGCCATGCATTTAGGCTGCTTTAGTTTTATTATCCCCAAGTTAGGGGAAGATTTGATGGTTAAAATGGTGAGGCATAAAGCATAAAAATTGGTTGCAAAAAGTAACACTGCCTATCCTTTTTGTTGGTTTTTATGTTCTCTTAGATACCAAAAAATCACTATTAGATATCAAGCCTGCCATAGTAAGTTTATAGGATGAAGGAAAGCTGTAACTCCAATACTTCAAGTGCAAATATTAGTACTTAGAATTAAATTTTAGTTTTCTGTAGTTGTTTCTTTAAAACTTATTTCTAAATCTTAATATAACTGCATGCTTACTAGCAAATTATCTTTTCCTCCTTCAGTTTTCTATGGATTAGGGTCTGACTAGGAACCTGTAGAATGCTGTTTTGCATTCAGAAGGTGGCAGTGTCTACCCTTTAATCAAAGTCTCTGCACTCTAGTTTTAATAAACAAGAATTAGGATGTGGTACATAACTGTACCTCAGTGAGGCAAAACAATGCAAATATTAGACTGCCATTTTGTGAGTTATCGATTGCTAATTGTTAGGGGTTTTTGTGCACTTTCCCAAGTTCTATGTATTTATGGAAATGCGATGGGGCCCACATGGCTGTTTTGACAGGTACCTGGGATCTGTACTTCTGTGAAGTTTTGCTGTGTTGTATTTCTGTGTCAGCCTTTCCTGTCATTTTCTCCTCCCTTTGTTTTGAAAGGATATTGCTGCCTACAGAGCTAAAGGAAAACCTGATGCTGCAAAAAAGGGGGTTGTCAAGGCTGAAAAGAGCAAGAAAAAGAAGGAAGAGGAGGAAGATGAAGAAGACGAAGAGGACGAGGAAGAGGAGGAAGATGAAGAAGACGAAGATGAAGAAGAAGATGATGATGACGAATAAGTTTGTTCTAGCGCAGTTTTTTTTTCTTGTCTATAAAGCATTTAACCCCCCTGTACACAACTCACTCCTTTTAAAGAAAAAAATTGAAATGTAAGGCTGTGTAAGATTTGTTTTTAAACCATACAGTGTTTTGTTTTGTTTTTTGTATAGCTAACACACTACCGAATGTGTCTTTGGATAGCCCTGTCCTGGTGCTATTTTCATAGCCACTAGCCTTGCCTGGTTCAGTACAGGGGCTGTAAATTGTCGTGCGACTTTAAAGCAGGTTCTTGTTGGTGCACAACACAGATTAGTTATATATGGGGACAGTAGGTTTTTTGTTTTGTTTTGGTTTGGTTTTTTTCATCTTCCGTTGTCTCTGATGCAGCTTAGATGAAAAAAAAAATTGCAGCTGTTTTGTTGACATTCTGAATGCTTCTAAGTAAATACAATTTTTTTTATTAGCATTGTTGTCCTTTTCATAGGTCTGAAATTTTTCTTCTTGAGGGGAAAGCTAGTCTTTTGCTTTTGCCCATTTTGGGTCACATGACTTATTGCAGTGTTTATCTTTCATGTAGTTAGCTGATAAAACGCTCTGTCTACACACCCTGCATATTGTGATGGGGGTAATAAAAAGTTGGAGAACGTTTTCACCCATAATTGAAATTCAAAAATCTTGATCAGTTGGTAAGAAATTTCACATAGCCCACTTAATAGTCACAAAACTTTTAAGAGTATGCAATTCTGTCCACAGCATGGGATTATTAGAATCAAACAATTTGAAAGTCTGTCCTTGAAGGACTAAATAGAAAAGTATATTCTAATCTTTACACAAGGACTCTGTATTCTCTAACTACCATTACTATGTAATGGCAGTTGTGTTCTGCAGTTCCCTTTGAAAGGCCTGAGAATGTGTCCCCAAAAGCGTGAGCTTAAAATACAAGACTGCCATATTAAACTTTCTGTTGACATTAGACCCAGGGAAGGCTCTGAAAAGGCTGGCTATGATGCCTTTCTGCTTAACTAAATATGGATTGCTCAGGAAACTTGAGACTGTTAAAAAAGTATTTTTAATTAGTTGGGCCAGCTTTTATTTCAATTATGCCACATTTAAATTGAAGTAGGGTATATTTTCCTATATTGTGATTTGTCCCTTTATAAATCAGACACAGGAAAAGAAGATAAACTTTGCATCTTAGTACCAGTTTCCCAATTTGCTTTTTCGTGATAAAACCCAAACTCATTCATTAGAGTCATGTTTATCTACTTAGCAGTTTAGGGAACAATTTGGCAATTTTGTGGTTTTGAGATTATCCTTCTCTTAAAGTGCCAGTGTTTTAAAATAGCGTTCTTGTCATTTTACTCGCTTTTGTGGTGGAGTGCTGTTTTGTTATATAATTTTGACTTGGATTCCTTCCATTTGCCTTTGTTTATGTAATTTGAGGAGGAATACTGAACATCGGAGTCCTGGATGATACTAATAAACTAATAATTGCAGAGGTTTTAAATGTTAGTTAAATGGCTTTCACTTTAAGAATTTGAAATTTTTGTCACATTTCATTTCCGGTAGTACTTTATAGCGAACACCTTTAAATTGAGTATAAGGACTTTGTTCCCTTTAAAAATACTTTATGCTGGGGCTGGTAAGATGGCTCAGTGGGTAAAAAGGATAACAACCTGAGTTCAATCCCTGGAAACCACAGTGGATGGAGGGAACCATCTCCCAAAATGTCCTCTGACCACGGGCTCTCCTGCATTCAAAATATAAATTTAAAAACGATTCATACCTATAAATAGGTTAATGGGCTGACAGAAACAGGTTTTTGTCAAACATCTCAAGTACTATATATGTGTGTGGAAAAGTTAATTTTACTTTGACATTGTTTAAACTAGTTCTTTAAACCCAGTACAGTACGTAAAAAGCAGGTATGTCAAAGAACACATTAGTCTTTTAAGCCAAAGGAGGGCTGCAACAGGCTGCAGTTTTCTCAATTATAAACTTTAAGTGAAAAGGAATCAAGTAACTGACTTCCCTCTTAACATCTGTTGCCAGTAAGTGATCCATTTAAAAGTGAGCTCTGCCTCAAGGAGACTTTAGTGAGTGTGTCGTGACAACTACCCTTTTTAAAAAGATACTAAGAATGGGGAGTTTGGGTTGCTTAACTGGCTTCAGATCTTGACGTCAAGAAACAACAAAAAGCCCTCTTAAATCTGGAAGTTACTGAGTTGTTTAGTGTCCAAGTACCACCTACAACTGGGTGTTTGGGGTTCACATATTAAGTTAATAAAATAGTGGAAATACTTAGGTAATGCAGTGTCAAACTATAAACATTTTGAAAAAGTATAGGTATTGAGTTCTAAAGACCTTACAGCCCAATGGAGTTTAAGACAAAAAATAATAATCCTGCCTGGGTTTCTGTAATTTTGGTATTTTGTTTTGCTTTATTATTTTTTTTTATGTATATGAGTGTATTGCATGAATGTATGTGAGTGCACCCGTGTCATACAATGCTGCGGAGGTCAGAAGAGGGCTTCGGATTCCCAAGGAACTGGAGTTAAGGACAGTTCGTAGCTGCCATGTGGATACTGGGACTCGAACCCGGGTTCTCTGCAAGAGCAGTCAGTGCTCTTCACCACTGAGCCATCTCTCCAGCCCCATTTTTCCCAGGTAGCCCAGGTTGGCTTTGAATTGATTGATCTGGCCTCAGTTTCCCAAGTGCCGGGATTGTAAGTGCATGCTGCCACAGTCAGTGGGTTTTCTATGGGGACCAGCTGGGTGGTTCAGCAGTTAAAGGTATTTGCCACCTTTCCTGATGACCTGAGTTTAATTACTGGAGCCCATATGGTAGAGACCCCACTCCCATAAGTTGTCCTCTGACCCCCTACGTGTGGCACACATACCTACATGCACAAAGTAAAAAAATTAGTATGTGGTATACTGATGGATTCCATTTCCTAAATTCCTAAATTAAAGAACTATTACTGGTTGCTTTAATTTCATTATGTAGCCCAAGATGGCCCCAATCTCCATCCTGTCTTAGCTTCCCAAAGACTGGGGAATACAGTCATGTGGCTCACCACATTTGGCAGTGTTTGTTAATTAAAAGTGAACTCTGGAAAATGAAATCATATGGTATGTGCACTACAGGGGCAAAAATGTAAATATAGGGAAAATACCATTAAGACAAGCCATCCAGCATAACTTCTGTAACTCAGATGGTCCAGCATATTGAAAACTACACAGGAGAGACTACCAGTTTCTGAATGTGGCCAAGCCCAAATCTAGGTGTGCGTGATGCAACACACTTGAGCCTACAATATACAATAGCTTGATGCTGTTATCAGTCAACCCTGTATGGTAATAGAGTGTTACTGCAAATCAGTACACGGATTGTCTAAACTAAGTGTGAACCATTGGCCAGTAATGAGGTCCTCTTATTAATATGGGACTGTGACAAGTTCAATTTAAACCCGTTTTTCAGTTTACATCTCTCTCTATGACCCTTGAAATACTTTTTAATAACTGGGTAAAATCCAGAAGAGTTTGGCTAGCTATCTGACTAAAGTAAGGTATTCCTTTTCATGTCCCTAATAGCAGTGAACATGGGATGCAGTTTGGGAAATTCCCTGGGGCTCAGCCAAGTTGCTTCCTGGAGTAGAGGCAAAATGTTGTTGTGCTCTAGCAATGCTGCTTCATTATCCGAGATGGCACAGAAACACACCACACAGCATAACAATATGCCACACTTAGAAGTTTCAGTTCAAAGTAGACATCTACCTGGAGGAAACAATCACACCATTAGGCACAGTCATTGATGTGGACCTTCCAAATAGCTGAGTTTATTGAGCGTCAACTGAAAAGGAGGAAGTAGTAATATTATAGTTACGGAATAATAGAATAGTGGGCAAAGTACGTAGAGACTGGAATCCAGGAAAAGCGCATCAGTGAAGGGTGGAGTTGTAGTGTGGTAGTAAAGTATGTGTCTGGAATTTTGTAAGGCCCTGGCTTTGACTTCTGATACCAAAAGAAAAACCAGGGCAAAAGCAGTTATAGAGAGATCACTATAAATGTTTTGGATTTTTGTTTTCTGTGTATGAGGTTTCTGCCTACATGTATATAAGTGCAGCCATGCTGTACAAAGCCCTCGGAGGCCAGAAGAGGGTGCTGAATCCCCTGGAACTGGAGTTACGGATAGTTGTTAGCTGCCATGTGGGTCCTAGGACTCAAACCAGGGTCCCTCTGGAAGAGTAACCAGTGCTGTTAACCACTGAGCCATCTCTCCAGGTGTTTTTTGAGACAGGGTCTTTTGTAGCCCAGGCTGGCCTTGAACTCACTATGTAGCCAAAAGTGGCCTTGAACTCCTTCCTGTCTCTGCCTCAAAAGCGCAGGATTCACTAGCGTACCGCCATGCCTGGCTTATTTACTTCTTCAGTCACATAATTGGACACACAACCTTCCATAATGTAATGCTCTATGATTGCTTTTACACCCTGTCTTGTTTTGTTGCCATTTCTAACACTACTGCAGTGAACATTTATACATTTCTCTGAAGCATCTGTAGATCTTTAGGATAAATACTTCAAAGTAGAATTACTGACTCAAAAGATGCTTGGACTTAACAGTTTGGCAAATATTGGTAATCAGTTGCTCCCAAAGAGTAAGTATGCTAACCCTGTCAAACATTTTAACAATGATTTTACAACAAATGAATAATTTTACGAGTTACTCTTTTACTCCATGAAAGAAGCCTTCATTTTAACAGATAAAAATTAAAATACTCAGGGGCTAGAGAGATGGCTCAGTGCTTAAGAGCACTGGCTGTTCTTGCAGAAGACCCGGGTTCAAATCCTGGCACCCACATGACAGCTAACAACTGTCCCTAACTCCAGTTTCAGGAGATCTGATGCCTCCTATCCTCTGAAGGGATTGCACGACATGGATTCACTTACATACATGCAGCCAATACACACATACATATAAAAAAAATAAAATATTTAAAAAAATAAAACACTGAAGCCAGATGTGGTGGCGCATGCCTTTAGTTCCAGCACTTGGGAAGCAGAGGAAGGGAGATATCTGTGAGTTCAAGACCAGCTGGAGCTACAGGGAGACCC